ACAATTGTTAACTGTTTTTGAACTAATCAGGACAAAACTTTCCTCTTTATTCTCAAGATTGCTGTGAGAGGCAAGATGCGTTTGCTCTGTGTTGCTTTACAATTTTAGCCTCCTTTTAAACAAACCCAATATATTTAACTATACTTCTTTTTATTTTTGCTGTGATAGGACACCTGCCAGTGCTCAGGGCTTACTCCTTGCTTTATGCTCAGGAATCACTGTGGGGTGTTGAGGAAAACTATATGTAGTGCTGGAAATCAAACCGGAGTTGGCCACATATAAGGCAAGTAATTTAACCCTGTACTCTTGCATAAACATAGACTTCATAAAGTATTGTTCAGAGATAGAATACTTGCTCTTTGAAATTGTTCTCTTCAGTTTCTTTAGATAGTTCATCAGTTTTATGAAAATGAAATTTGATTCCTAGATTTTGCTTTATAGAAATATAGGTCCTCATAAATAGTTGCAGCATACCCAGAATCACTCTGCTTATTTATCTGTGTATTAGAAGCAGACCCTCTTCATTGGGAATTGTTTTGTTTTAGAAATCACACTCAGTACTTATGGGTCATTCCTGGCCATGCTTGGATAACCAAATGGTACCAGAGATCAAATCTAGGCCTTCTGCATGCAGGGCTTATGCTCCAGTTGGTGAGCTGCCTCTCTGACCCTTCATTGGAAATTGAAGCAGTGAAATGGGCAAATCAGGGAGTTACCTATTTTTTCCCTTGTGCTTATCAATTTTACTAAGAGCTGCTTTCCTGAATTAGGTCTGTCTTTGTATGTATTTTGAAAAGCTGAACCGTATTGTATCTGGGGGGATAAAGTGGGGAGGAGTGCACCTGTCCCTTCTTCCTCTAAGAGACAGAATATAAATGTGCTGCTGCCTCCCAAGGGGTGCTCAGAGGGCCCCAGTGTGACTCCTAGCAGTACTTGGCTAGCTGGGCCCCGTGATGCTAAATATCACCAGGGCAACCCCTCTGGTGTTTGGGGATCTGGTGGTGCCTAGGACGCCATGTAGTTCCAGGGATCCTAGTCTGAGTCTCAAGACATGAATATCTCACCACTGAGTTATCTCCTGTGCACTGGCTTTTGCTTTTTTTGAAGATCAGAAATAGCAGATCCTCTTAAGTATGACGTGATTCTAAAGAGTTAAATAAAGTATTTTATTCTGTTACTTCTGTAAAAAAAATTTCAGTTGTTTGAAAGGGAGGAAAAATTAAAATATACCTAAGAACTTAATCATTTCCAGTTTCTATTATGGATCTGTGATAGTTTGGATATTATTTAGAATGTCCTGTTTTTATTTAATAAATTTTAATTAAATTTTTAATTGAATTATCGTGATATATAGTTAAAAAATTGTTTATGATTGACTTTCAGTCATACTGTGTTCCAGCACCCATCTCTTCACCAGTGCACATTTCATGCTACCAATGAATGTCCTTTTTTTCCCATCTCCTTAGCTCTTCCCTGCCCTGTAGCCTGCCTCTATGGCACACACTTTCTGTTTCTCTCCCTCTCTCTCCCTCCCCCCCACTCACAAACACACACACAGGCACTAAAAGTGGTTTTCAGTACTGTTACTGTATCACACATATCACAGATAAATAAGCAGGGTGATTCTGGGTATGCTGCAACTATTTATGAGGACCTATATTCCTATAAAGCAAAATCTAGGGATCAAATTCCATTTTCATAAAACTGATGACCTAGCTAAAGAAACTGAAGAGAACTATTTCAAAGAGCAAATATTCTATCTCTGAACAATACTTTACAAAGTCTATGTTTATGCAAAAGAGGAGTACAGGGTTAAATTACTTGGCCTATATATGACCAACCCTGGTTTGGTTTCCAGCACTAAATTTTTGATCATTTCAGAATGATCATTTCCTACTGTCATTGTCATAGTGGTCCCTTCTCTAACTTCTCCCTTCTCTATTGGTCCCCTACCTCCCCCTTTGTAATAAGCTTCCTACCATAGACCAGTCCTCCTGGCCCTTGTTTCTACTCTTTTTGGGTGTTACTCACATACTGTGTGTGTGTGTGTGCACGTGCGTGCGTGTGTAAGTGTAGTCACATATTTTTAATGCAATCATTGTGTATTTGTCCTTTTCCCACTGACTCATTTCACTCAGTAGGATACTTTCCATGTCCATCCATGTATAAGCAAATTTTATGACTTTGTTTTTCCTAACAGCAGGATAGTATTCCGTTGTGAAAATGTACCATAGTTTCTTTATCCACTCATCTGTTCTCAGGCACTTGGGTTGTTTCCAGATTCTGGCTATTGTGATAGTGCTGCAATGAATATAGGAGTACAGATAGCTTTTCTGCATTGTTTTATTTATTTAGCATGTTCCCTAAATTGAAAAAAAGGGTATCCTCTGTTTTTACATCTATATTTTATTTTGGGGGCCACACCCGGTGGAACTCAGGGGATACTCCTGACTTAGCACTCAGGGATCACTCTGGAGGCTATACTTTGGGGACCATATGGGATGCTGGGGACCAAATTTGGTTGACTTTATGCAAGGCAAGCTTTGTACCTGCTATACTGTCACTCTGGCCCAAGTGTCCCTGTTTTTAAAAATGTTTTAGTAGAGGGTTGGGCTGCTCACATATTCTAACAGTATGTGTGATTGTTAGATGTTTAATTGATATTTGCTTCTATGAAGAGCTTGGGGAAGAGATTATTTGAAAGATGTTTGCTAACTGGGAATTTACTGGGGCCTTTACTTTGTTACTGTTTGACACTAAGTGATTGGCATTAGGATTAACCAAATGTATTTGCTTAAAAAAATTGTTCTCTAAAAGACACTCCTGTAACCAGCCAGGCACACTGAAAAAAAAATGCAAGCAACCTAGAGTGAAACAGAGGGTTCATGCGGTTCTACACATCAGTTTTCAAACCCAGTCACTAGCACTAGCACTGTCCTCCCCTTGTTCAGCTATTTGCTTGAGCAGGCCCAGTAACATCTCCATTATGAGACTTATTGTTACTGTGTTTGGCATATTGAATACGTCACAGATAGCTTGCCAGGCTTTGCCATGCAGGCGAGATACTCTTGGTAGCTTGCTGGGCTCTCTGAGAGGGGCAGAGGAATCTAACTTGGGTCGGCTGCGTGCAAGGTAAGTGCCCTACCAGCTGTGCCATCGCTCCAGCCCCAAACCCACAGAAGTCTTATAAATTATCAGCACACGTATTTTTGAAAGCTGGTAGTACCTAATTGCTTACTACATTTCTTTCTGAAAATGAATGGTTAAAGATACAGTAATTTTCTGAGCTTTGAGAGGTTAGATGTACAGTCAGAATTTTATTTTGGTGGTGATAGTGCCACACCCAGCGGTGCTCAGGGGACTGACTATATTTTGTGCTGGGGGGATCAAACTTGAGTTGGCTGCATGCAAGGTAAGTGCCTACTGCTGTAGTATTTTTCTGACCCCAAAGTTAGAATTTTTAACTGAGCAGCTTAAATTTAAATACTATTTTGTTGTTTATGTTGTTTTCATTGTTTGTTTCTGTTTTTTTTTTTTTTTTTTTTTTTGTTCCGGAGCACATACTCATTGTCTCAAATTGTGTCTGGATGGACCTTAATAAGAGATTTTCTGGTATGATCTTTGTGTTGATGGGGCCAGAGACATAGTACAGTGGGTAAGGCATTTGCCTTGTATGCATCTGACCAGTTCAACCCTCAGCATTACATATGATCTCTGAACCACGCCAGGAATAAGCCCCTGAGCACAGAAGATGTGGCCTACCCCTCTCACCCCTTGAAAAAAAAGATTATCTCCATTCCCCTACCATTTTGTTATGAATATTTGAGATAAACAGAAAAATGAAAATAATTGGCAAGTGAATCCTTATTGCCCTATTTTTACCCTAGCTTTCTGGTGGGTTTGTTTTGCTTTGTTTTGTTTTCTTTGTGGGGAACTGGCGCACCTGGTGTGTCCAGGCTACTCCTGATTCAGTACTCTGGGAACTTACATAGTTTTATCTTTAACTTATTATTTGACACCCTATAATCAGAAAGAAATGACCTTTATAATCATTTTTAGTAAGTTGGAGAGAGAAAAGAGAAACAGACAGACATAAGTGCACACAATGCCTGGCACAGAACAGGTTAGCACATGGATGTGAATGAATGAATAATCTAAATCAGTTGGGTACTGCTTGTTCAGGCAAGAGACTGAAAAAGAAAAGAGGCGGCAAACAACTTTGCCAGGTAGCCCACATCCCATTTGACTTTTTTTTTTTTTTTTTGCAGAGGCTGGGCACATTCATCAGTTCTCAGGGCTTACTTATGGCTCTGTGTTCAGTGGCCATTTGGGAGACTATATGGGTACTGGGTATGCAATCTGGGTTGGAGGCATGCAGGCAAGCACTTACATGTTGTACTGTCACTCTGACCCCTGAAGTTTTTATTGATGTTAATAGTATGGTTAGCAAGGTTAGAATTTAGGAATAGTAATATAATCCTAGAAAGCTGGGGCAGTTGACAAAGGCTTCTTGTAAGAAATGGATCTGGAACTGGACCATGAGGTCAGGTAAAGCTCAATAACAATGATGGGTGCGGTCTTGAGCCATGTGGCATCTCCTTACATGATTGCATGGTTGAGCAGAGTCACGGTGTGATAAATAGGATCTGCCTTTCCTTTAAGTGCTTAGAAGATGGATTATTGGAGAGCAATTTGTTTTTTCTTTGCAGGGGGTGGGGATAAGAATTTTTTTTTTCCATTATAATACCTGGCAGTACTCAGGACTTATTTCTGGCTCTCTTGTGCCTAGGGATCACTCCTGATGGAGTTTGGGGAAGCATATGTGGTACTAGGGATTGAATCTGGATCAGCCATGTGTCAGGCAGGCTCCTGAATTCCTGGGCCACCAGAAGTGATCCTAGAGCCACGAGTGAACCCTGAGCACTGTGGTGTGGCCCAAAACACAAAAATTCATGTTCCTAAGTATACCTTGGTAATTCTGATCCTCTTTTTCTTCTCAGGACCCCTGCAGTGGACCATGAGTCGGTAATGCCCACTGAAGACCTCTGGGAACCATGTCAGACGAATCCGCCTCAGGGAGCGATCCAGACCTGGACCCGGACTTGGAGCTGGAGGATGCGGAAGAGGAGGAGGAGGAGGAGGAGGTGGCAGTGGAGGAACATGACAGGGATGATGAGGAAGACCTGCTGGATGGTCAGTGACTCTAGAGAGCTAAAGCTAGTTTCTTTCCTTCTAATGGCATTTTTGCTTGGAGCATGTGTTGTTTGTAGTTGGATTGTTTTTAGGTCATATGTTGTTAGAAGGATAGACTGGGAGTACATTGATAGTGAACTTTATGTGCTCCTCATATATGAATCATTGCTTTATATAACTCACTTTAGAGTTAGGAAGACCTAACAGATTTATGGTAGACATATAGATTTATGTTAAAGATTTGAAAGAAGTGTATACTTGCCCTTGGAAGAGTCAGTGACTGAGTCCCTGACTATTTGGGGTTATTGATACATCAGGTGGTCATAGGTAAACTTGGGAATAACCATGTGTGGTTTATGAGTTTCCTTAAATGACACTCTTTTATTCTGCTTGTATGGACACAAGGGAATTGTCTGTGGAGAGCTTATTAGACTGAAAGTGTGCCGCCTCTATGCAAAGCTGTTCTGTCTCATGAACACTTGTGGGTCTATAAAACACTACTACTGGTAGAGAACTGCATCTCCCTCCCTGCCTGTCTCACGTTCTGTCTTACAGTCTGCTTTCAGCACACATCTCCCATCCTGAGTGGGCTCTCCAAGCATCCTTTACTTGGTGGCCCCTTCTCTATCTGAGCTGCCTTTCCCCCCAGCATGTGAGGCCAGCTTCTAAGCTGTGGAGCAATCCTCCTGGTCCTTATCTCTACTATCCTTGGGTGTTAGTCTCCCATTCTGTTACTTTATATTCCACAAATGCGTGCAGATGTCATTTCTACTATACTTTTTTGCATCTCCGGGATATATTCCCAGAAGTGGTATTGCTGGGTCAAATGGGAGCTCAATTTCCAATGTTTTGAGAAGCATCTATACTGTTTTCCAAAAGGGCTAAAACAGTCGACATTATCACCAGCAGTGAAAGAGAGTGCCTTTCTCCCCACATCCATGCCAACACTGGTTGCTTTTGTTCTTTTGGTTATGTGCCAGTCTCTGTGGCATGAGATGATATATCATTGTTGCTTTGATCTGCATCTCCCTGATGATTAGTGATGTAGAGCATTTTTTCATGTGTCTTTTTGCCATTTGGATTTCTTTTTTGAGAAAGTTTCTGTTCATTTCATCGCCCCATTTTCTGATGGGGTTGGGTGCTTTCTTCTAGTAGAGTTCAACCATTGCCTTGTAAATCCTTGATATCAACCCCTTATCAGATGGGTATTGGGTGAATATCCTTTACCATTCTGTAAACTGTCTTTGTATTCTGGTCACTGTTTCTTTTGAGGTACAAAAGCTTCTAATTTTAAGATAGCACATTTGTTTATCTCTGTTTCCACTTGCTTGGTTAGTGGTGTGTCATCTTTGAAGATACCTTTAGCTTCAGTGTCATGGGGGGTTTTGCGGACCTTTTCTTCAATGGTACCTTATGGATTCTGGTCTGATGTTGAGGTCTTTAATCCATTTTGATCTGACTTTTTTGCATGGTGTTAGGTAGAGGTCTCAGCCCATTTTTTGCATGTAGCTGTTCAATTTTGCCAGCATCATTTTAAAGATGCTTTCCTTGCTCCACTAAACATTTCTTGCTCCCTTATCAAAGATTAGATGATCATATGTTTGAGGGTGTATGTAAGGATATTCAACCCTGTTCCATTGGTCTGCGGCTCTGCCTTCTTTCCAATACTATGGTGTTTTAATTATTACCACTTCGTAGTAAAGTTTGAGATTGGGGAAGGTGATGCCTCCCATCTTCTTTTTCCCAAGAATTACTTTAGCTATTTGTGAGGGTTTGTTGTTCCATATGAAGTTCAAAGTGTTTGATCCATTTCTTTGAAGAATTTCATGGGTAACCTTATAGAGATTGCATTGAATCTGTATAATGCTATGGAGAGTATTGCCATTTTGACAATATTAATTCTCCCACTCCACGATCAGGGGATATATTTCCATTTCCTCATGTCCTCTTTTATTTCGTGAAGTAGCATTTTGTAGTTTTCTTTGTATAGGTCCTTTAACTCCATAGTTAAGCCGATTCCAAGGTATTTGATTTTCTGAGGCATGATTGTGAATGGGATTGCTTTTTTTATGTAACTTTCTTCTCTCATTATTTGCATATAAGAAAGCCATGGACTTTTGGGTATTTTTATAACCTGTGACTTTACTATACAAGTCTATTGTCTCTAGGCGCTTCTTGGTAGAGGCTTTAGGGTTTTCTCAATATAGTATCATATCATCTGCAAATAGTGGGAGTTTGATTTCTTCCTTTTCTATCTGGATGCCCTTAATATCTTTTTCTTGCCTACCCACCATTGCAAGTATTTCCAGTATATTGAATAGAAGTGGTGAGAGTGGGCATCGTTATCTTGTTCCCTGTCTTAGAGGGAAGGCTCCAAGTTTTTCCCCTTTGAGGATAATGCTTGCCATAGGTGGTAGATGGTAGATGACTCTGACTATATTGAGGAAATTTCCTTCAGTACCCATTTTGGTGAGAGTTTTCATCATAAACGGGTGTTGGATCGCGTCAAATGCTTTCTCTGCTTCTATTGATATGATCTTATGTTTTTTTTTTTATCTTTTCTTCTATTGATATGATGGATTATGTTGATTTCCGAATGTTAAACCATCCGTGCATCTCCAGGATGAATCCCAGTTGGTTGTGGTGTATGATCTTTTTGATGAATTGTTGGATTCTATTCGCTAATATTTTGTTGTGGATCTTTGCATCCCTGTTCATTAGGGATATCGGCCTGTAATTTTCTTTTTTTTTGTGGTGTCTCTGTTTGCTTTTGGTATTAGGGAGATATGTGCCTCACAGAAACTGTTTGGGGGAGTTTCTGTTTTCTTCAATTTCCTGGAAACGCTTGAGAAGAACTGGCAATAGGTCCTCTTTAAATGTTTGGAAGAATTTGTGTGGGAAGACTTTTGAATACAGTTTCAATTTCCTTGATAGTAATAAGTCTATTCAGGTATTCAGATCTTCTTGGTTCAGCCTTGGAAGATTATAAGAATCCAGGAATTTACCCACTTCTTCTAGGTTCTCATGTTTTGTGGCATACAGACTTTCAAAGTAGTCTCTGATGATCTTTTGAATTTCTTTGGTTTCTGTTGTGATAGCCCCCTTTTCGTTTCTGATTTGGTTTATTAGGGTTTCTCTCTCTCTCTCTCTCTCTCTCTCTCTCTCTCTTTGTGAGTCTTGCTAGTGGTTTATCAATCTTTGTTTATTTTCTCAAAGAACCAACTCTTGGTTTCATTGATCTTTCGGATTGCTTTTTGGGTTTCCATGTTGTTAATTTCTGCTCTGATTTTTATTATTTCTTTTCTTCTGCCTGGTTTGGGCTCCTTTTGTTGGTCCTTTTCTAAGACTTGAGCTGTGAAGTCAAGTTATTTGTGTGGGCCCTTTCTTCCTTCCCGAGAAATGCTTGCAGAGCTATAAAATTTCCCGTTAACATGGCTTTAGCTGTGTCCCACAGGTTCTGGTAGCTTGTGTCTTCGTTCTCGTTTGTTTCCAGTTATCTTCTTGTTTCTTCCTTGATTTCCTTCCTTACCACTCCTTGTTCAACATTGAGTTATTTAATTTCCAAGTGTTTGATTTGGTTCTCTGCGTCTGTGTTTGATTAACTTCTATCCAAAGTGCATTGTAGACTGAAAAGATAGTTGATACAATTTCTATCTTCTTGATTCTATTGAGGTATGTTTTGTGACCCAGCGTGTGGTCTATTTTGGAAAATGTCCTGTGAGAGCTGCACTTCTTAAGCATATAGTTTAAACTCCCATTCCCAACCCCATTTGGTTTGTGTGGCTTGCCCCTTCCTCTGCCCCGAGCTTGTTAAAGTAGCATTGATCTTTTTCTTTGTGGTCATCTGACTAGCTACAGGGCTTGTCAGTTAATTCCAGTCCTTTGTAGTATAATACACCACAGTTCAGTAGTTTGTCATGTTCCTATTGAAGGAAGAATTGCTTTTTGAGTTTTGTTTTGTTGTATTTGGGGGCCACACCTGGCTGTGCTCAGGACCTACTCATGGCCCAGCACTCAGGGATCACTCCTGGCAAGGTTTGGGGAGGGGGGCAGGGCTTGGGACTACATAGGGTGCCAGGGATCAAGCCTGGGTTGTGGTGCAAAGGCAAATGCCCTGCTTGCTGTACTGTCACTCTAGTTCCCAAGAATTCGTTTTTGTCTGTTTCTTTTATTTATTTATTTTTTTTGCTTTTTGGGTCACACCCGGCAATGCACAGGGGTCACTCCTGGCTCTGCGCTCAGGAACCACTCCTGGCTCTGCGCTCAGGAACCACCCCTGGCGGTGCTCAGGGGACCATATGGGATGCTGGGAATCGAACCTGGGTCGGCCGCGTGCAAGGCAAACGCCCTACCCGCAGTGCTATCGCTGCAGCCCCGGTTTTTGTCTGTTTCTAACAGACAAGCTTAGTGGAACATTGCGTGCGATCATCATTGTAGTGAAGGAGCCTCAGAAAATGTGCTCCTGTCATTCTTCAAATTCCAGGAGATCAAACTGTCAATGTCACTGCCACTGTCCTCCCATTGTTCATCCATTTGCTTGAGCAGGCCCAGTAACATTGTGAGACTTGTTACTGTGTTTGGCATATCGAATACGTCACGGGTACCTTGCCAGGCTTTGCGGTGCGGGTGAGATACTCTTGGTAGCTTGACAGGCTCTCCAAGAGGGGCGGAGGAATCGAACTCAGGTTGGCCATGTTGGCTGCGTGTAAGGCAAACGCCCTACCCGCTGTGCTATCAACTCCAGCCCCATTGTTTTTCTTTGCTGATGTTGCTGTCTTTGGTTTTGTTTTTCCCTTTTGTTTTTAGGGCCATACCTGGTGATGCTCAGGAGTTACTTTTGGCTCTGCACTCAGGAATCACTCCTGGTGTTGCTTGGGGTACCATATGGGATAGTGGGGGTCAAACCCAGGTTTTGTGCTCAGGGATCACTCTGGGTGGTGCTTAGGGAACCAAATGGAGGCCCGGGGATGGATTCCTGGTCAATCATGTGCAGAGCAAAC